CCAAGAAATTTGGAAGACAGCTAGCTGGCCAACCACCGAGAAGATATCCATATGTGTACCCATTGCAAAGAAACATAATCCAACAGCATGTGAAAATTTTCCAACAATATCATTAATATCACACACAAGTAAAATTTTGCTGAAGACAGTTTAAAAAAAACTTGCTGCAGTACATCAATGGAGAACTGCCAGAAATTTAAGATGGATTCAGAAGGGAACATGGAACAAGGGATATCATTGCTGATGTCACGTGGATCTTGACAGAAAGCACAGAATACCAGAAAGATGTCTACTTGTGTTTTACTGACTATGCAAAGACATGTGACTGTGTGGATCATAACAAATTATGGATAACATTATGAAAAACAGCAATTCCAGAATAATTCCGCTCATATGGAACTTGTACATAGACTAAGAGTCAGTATGTGGGGATATTGTGTGGTTTAAAATCAGGAAAGGGTTGTATCCTTTCACCATACTCATTCAATCGTACACTGAGCAAATACTCCAGAAGCTAAACTATATAAAGAAGAACACGGCATTAGGATTGGAGGAAAAGTCATTAACAACTTGAGACATGCAGATGACACAATCTTACTTGCTACGAGTGAAGAGGGCTTGAAGCACTTACTGATGAAGTAAGTGGAAGCCTTCAGTATGGATTACACTTCAACATAAAGAAAATGAAAATTCTCACAAGTGGATCCTAATAAGCAACATCATGATAAATGGAAAAAAGACTGAAGTTGTCAAGAATTTCATTTTACTTGGATCCACAATTAATGCCTGTGGAAGCAGCAGTCAAGACATCAAACAATATACTGCACTAGGCAAGTCTACTGCAAAAGACCTCTTTAAAGTGTTAAACAAAGGTGTCACTTTGAGGACTAAACTGTGCCTGACATAAGCCATGGTATTTTCAACTGCTTCATATGCATGCTAAAGCTGGACAATAAATAAGGAAGACCCAAGAATTCATGCCTGTGAATTATGGGTTTGGCAAAGAATACTGAATATACACCATGGACTGCCAGAAAAATGAACAAATCTGTCTTGGAAGAAGTACCATCAGAATGCTCCCAGAAGTAAGGATGGTGAGACTTCATCTTACATACTTTGTATATGTTATCAGGAGGGACCAGTTCTTGGAGAAGAGATCATGTTTGGTAAAGTAGAGGGTCACTGAAAAAGAGGAAGACTCTCAAGATAGACTGACACAGTGGCTACAACAATGGGCTCAAACACAGTAACGATTATGAGGACTGTATCTGTTGTACACAGGGTTACTATGAATCAGAACCAACTTGACAGCATCTAATCACAATGGGATCTGACACTTATATTAGTTATGAGCCTGATAGAAAACGTGTTGTTATCTCAGACACAATCATGGAGACAATACCTCAATAATTCATTATATGCAGAGCACCTGTGATCATGCCCAAACTTCTTCAGGGAGGACAGTTCCCACCAAGAGCTGGAGTGGGTCTATATCTAAACCACAGTCCCATTAGGACACTGAGCCCTGAACCTCAGTTTCCCCAGACATTTAAAGGGAATCAGGCTGCATGCTAGAAGAAGTGTGGAACATGGAAATAAAGACAAATAATAAGCACTGAATTCCTTAAGGAATTGCTGGGGAAATGCAAAACACATTCAGAACTAGAAACTTTACCCATAATTCCTCTAACTCTTTCCACTCTCCTGCACAGAAGTATAGAGTAGGAAGAGAAAGTAGAAGTTGAAGAATTCAATTCCTACATTTTACACCCAAGGAAAAGGTTACCAGAGAGGTGGAATGACTTGTTCAAGGTCACAGCCTTGTACAGGTTGCCAGCCCAGTCACCTTTTCATGACAGTCTGCTATGGGATTGGGCCCCGAAATGTCACAGCCAAGTGATACTCCTGATAGACTCCAACAGACAGAAAACAAAAATGTGAAAAAGTCCAGCAAAGAACACACTAATGGAATGACTGTCCTCAACTTCTCACTAAGGTGAAAATGTTACTAGTTTTCTTATTTACTAAAAAAAAAATCCACCTTCAATTCTTTTCAAAATAGTCAAGTCATTCATCATTTGAGATTTGGTGGCCAAAGGTACAGATGGTGAGATGGACCACGACTCTCATCTGCAGCCTCAGGTTCTTTTAATCAAAAACAGAGGACAGTCCCAGAAACTGCGTCCTCCTGATTCCACAGCTCCCTTCTGAAACTTATCTCCCACGGAATATCAAATGCTGACAAGATCTGTCTCCCTCTGGACCCAGCTCCTAGTTGAACCATCTTGGGGCTGAATGAGGATGAGGGTGAACACATGTGAGGGCTGGTAGAATTCCACGGAAAAGCAGCCTGGGTTTGCTTCAAAAATAAAGCACTAAAAAAAATTATACCAAGCTTCAGCCAAATGCATCCTTCCTGACAGTCTGGACACCAACTACCAAATACTTGGACAAGAAGAGTGAAGAACAAAAAATGTGAAAGCAGTAACAACACAGACCTCAAGGGTGAGAAGAAAAGCTAATAAAAGCCTTAAGTTACTGGTTATAATGAGCTGGCTGCACACGGTTTAATTAAGCAAATCAAAGGCCAGGTATTCTGGACATATTTTACAATAGACTCAAAAGTGGCCTACTCTCATTCTACATTTGTCTCACAGCTTCTCAACCAACACCACAATCATCTCTCATACCCTGATGATTCCTTGTATAAACTTCAGTTATGTCAATTCAGCAGGTCTTGGAGCTAAAAAAAAAATACAGCCAGATATTTAGGGACTGTTTCTTTAAAAAAAAAAAAAAAAATTCCCCTAAAGATTGCCGAAACCTATTTTTACCTGAGAAAACTGACGGAAGTTATGCTTGGTCATCATGTACCAGATTCTTTATTGAACTATCTGATTAGCATTTCACCACAGGCATTGCACTAGCATATCTATGTGCCCCATAGAATAAAAAGAAATTCCACAAGTTCATTTAAAACCTCAGAAGCACAAAAACACTAAATCTTATCTTTACTCATTGAAAAAGATATATTCTGATCAAAATGGCCCAGTTGCCCTGAGAAACGAGGATGTTGAAAAGTGCACCAAAATCTCTCAGTCGAGAGAACATTTTAGATTCGTGCAACTCAGAGCTGGCTTCCCCCTAAGGGCAGTCGCTGACTTTCAGTAAAGGAAAAAGCCAGGAGGACTGGAGATTGCCAGGGGGAGGTGGGGAGAAGGAATGTGTGAATAAGGCTCTATGAATAAGTGTGCTGTTAGGAGGAGGGCTGAAGCAGGGGCAGCACTGGTTGCACCATTAAATTTTTGCTTCATCTGAAGACTTCTCTGGAAGCTGAGAGGTTTGCCTCCTTGATAAGTAAGAAGGGAACCTCTATCTCTCAGAAGCTAACTCCAATGAGAGCTGACTGGTCAACATCTGGAGGCCTTCAGAGAAGCAAGAGCAGGAGGAAGAAGAGAAGGATGGCTTTTATTTTCCCCTTTATTTCCAACACACCAGTATTTTCCAAAACACAAATACACTGCCACAAAACACAGCTGAGCTCCACCATCCAGTACGATGTATAATTAATGATCAAGAAAGAACACTTCAGTTCTCCCTGTGTTTTTATTATAGCGAGCTTCCACCAATAGCCCTGCCTCCCCACCTCTTTCCTTAGCAACCATGTTCACTGCCACAAGTTGCTGTGCCTTGTACAAGTTTTTTGTTTTTCTCGTGGGGGGGGGGGGGTCCTTGTATTAACTTTCCTAGAAAAGATGTGGAGACCAAGATTCTGCACTACTTGCCTTCATATTCTTCCCTCCAAACATATTTGTGTTGTGAGGTCCCCTAAGATGGGAAGTACAACAAAAAAGTAGCTCTATCAACTTTTTCCCCCCAGCCCTTTCTTTTGATTATGCAGTTTTCTATCAAAAACTGCCATCCTGAGCCCAGCTTCCAGCCAGTGCGGAGGGAAAAGAGGACCTCTCTAGAGACACAGCAACAGACCGCCTAGCAACCATACATCCAGGGTGTGGTGAGCCTGGGTGTCGGTGGGCGTCTCTGCGCCAGGAATAGCTGAAACCCGCATCCAGCCACCTCACAAGCGCGGAGGAAGAGGTTCGCAGTGAAACCTCGCCCTCGGCCAACTCCAGAGGAGACCTCTCGCTCCAACGCTGCGCCGCTGCCGGCGTTTCTGGGGACATAAAGTGGGTGGCCTGGGGGCACAGCTACTGAGGCCAAAGAACTTAGCGTAGTCCAGGAGAATATCCAAGGATGGAGAAGGAAGCGACATCTGATTGGTGACCTCGCAACACTCCTAAAAGTGGCAGCCCCACGGGATGCTTCCCAAACTGGGGTGGTTCTCCCGAACTTTCTCTTGCCCCTCAAGATCCCCCACTGCCTCTGGCCACGTTGCTCCTCCAGAATTCCCAAATCTAAAAGATTTGCTTCCTCATCTAAAGGATTTTCCCTTCCTTGTAACCCTTTGAACTTATCTCCCCAACAGGTTCTTAAAGTG